GCTATTTAGCTGGGGGGTGGGGTATGTTAATTTTAGCTTTTTCAGGTAATTACACTTTTTTTTTTTTTTAACTCGTTTCAGATTTTTCTGCTTTCTTCTGGTAGTTTAAGCATCTTTCTGACTTTTCAGCTATTTTATGTTAATTTCAGCCTTTTTTTTAGCTCTTTTCCTAATTTTTGTGCTAATTTCTGCTTATTTAAACCTAATTCAGCAAGTATGTGTTCTTTCCGCTTTCTTCTGCTAATTTAGGCTTGAACTTCCGTTTCAGGTATATTTCAGCATGTTTTTAGCTACATTTCAGCTGTTTTGCAGCAAGTTCTTCAGCAATAAGAGTTCACACTGCATTTCCATGGGAGACCTAATTTATTTAGTTAAAATCAGTGATTCATGAGATATCTTGCGGAGCAGTCAAATGAACACAGACAAAATCTAACTGGTCATCGTGTCTTCGGCGGTGGCTAATAAAAACTTCAGCGTTCAAAAACAGAAAACATTTTTGTATCTCCACCACTCTCCTAAATATTTAAACTTGATCCAGTTTTAAAATATATACATTATTTTCTTTTATATTGTTGCAATATATTTATTTAGCATATAATGGCAACATTGCAAGTTGTAGCTACGTTAACGTCCGTTGAAAAATAGCTCCAATCTGCTTTTTAAAAGAACAAATAAATAAAAACTTGAATTTGGTTGAAAATGTGCAACAGCTAAAGGTTCAATCTGTGCACTTTGATTCCACTGTTTGTGACTAACGGAGGCATGAATGAAGTACTTCCAGCCTTATTCACGCGCAACATACTAAATTATGAGCAGAAATAGATTTTGCACCAGTAATATGTAATCTATGTTTCCCGATTGGCAGGGTTTAGAAACTGCAGCAGGGTTAACTTAAAAAAGTTAGCCTGTGGCGCTCCTCATCCTGTGATAATAGGCCTGTCAGTAATGAAGAACAGGCTTGTTGCCAACAGGTGGTCTCTTTATAAGACCAGAGCCAGAGCACTCAGGATGAGGGGGAAAAAGTGCCACAGCAAAATGTGTCAGAATCTAATGTTCTGCAGAGTGAAAAGCCTGTTTTCCGTTCTTTGTTCCCAGCCAGAGATTCAGCCTTGTTCCTCATTGTTCGCGGCACAAACGAGCAACAGTCTTTTTTGACACAGAGCCACAGATGAATAAAGACTGGAGCTGACTAGTCACAGGAAAGAGCTTTCTTTCTGGAGGGCTTAGAGCCCATTAAGAGTTTGTGAGATATGAATGGATATGAATCCTCTCCTTCGACCCTACAAAAAAAAAAAAAACTGGACCCACAGAAGACAAGGAACACCTCTGTGTCTTTCTACCGAGGTTCCCAAGTACATTTCAAGACATGAAGTCGAAGCAGGACTGATTGACAGGCAGGAATTACAGAGTCAATAGGAAGCGAGTGGCTTATTGTGGATTTAAACCTCCAACCACAGAGCACTACCCACTGACACTAATGTCCACAATTTGACTTGATAAAGAAGGCAGTGTGGGAAAGAATCAGAACTGCACTGATTGCACTTCATCGTGATGCAAACGTCTTTTTTGTGTGGAAATCTGCAGCATCGTCCTAAAACAAGACGGAGACGATGAGATGTTCAGTCAGGACGTTTGACTCGATGGGAGGACGATGGGTGGATCCCAGCGAGACCAGCACACAAAATACAAACCTTTGTCCGACTCCATAATCCGTTTGTTACACTCAGACCAATTTGTCCTCATTAACCCTCATAAGGGAGCTGTCTGAGACAAAAGCTCCCGGGAACAATGAGATCCCCGACCCTCCCCACGTTCACATCAGCAGAGCTCAAGTGCTCCCCTTCCAGCACATTGTGGCCTCTTGTTGGCTCCGGAGGGTTTCAGTCTATGAGCAAGAGACGGACGGACCCCAACAAGCAGGGTACACCTGAAAGACAGGGTGAAAAGAAACGTCCCCATTTCCGCCTCAAGAATGAAATATCTTGGAAAAAACCCACAATGCAACATCCTGTTTTATTCGGGTCACTCCATCAATCAGCTCTGAAATAAAATCCTGACAGGATGCACAAAGAGCAGCAGCTCTGTGTGTGTGTGTGTGTGGGGGGGGGGGGGGGGTACAGTAATGTTCAGACGTGAGAAAGTTTGCTGCACCTTCAGTTTGTCACACCTGCAGCAGCTTCAGGACATGACTTCATCACTTTATTAAAATACAGTATTTTATTTCTGTCCAGTAACTCTTCCGTGTCCTCAGAGCTTTTTTAACTTCCCAGTGATTCTGCTACAAACAACTTGTCTTTATTTTAAAAAGCTGCACTGTAGCTTCCTTTGCTGTGAGGCTGGCAGCCTGAAATCTATTCATTAGGTCAGTTTGCTCAAGTTTTCTCCACGTGCACGTCCTTACGTTTTAAAAAGAACTAAACAACTTTGTTTTCTTATAATCTGTGCCTTAAGTCAATGTCTGTTTTAGGATTTTAATTCAGTTCTAATGTGCAATTTTACTAAAATTACCTTTAATTCATTCATTCAACCTTTACTTCTACAGGTTAATCCCATCGAGCCTCCAGGACTCATTTACAGACGGACCTGATTTAACAAAGAGTGATGACAACAACAGACGGTTATAAAAAGTCATACAGATTATTATTATTTTTACAAATAAGATGCAAAAACAATATCAGAACATATGAAGAAAACTCTAAAAGTAAATTGACATTAGAAATAAAACACAGAAAAGTCCAGATTATCCTTGACTGGATAATGTAGTCGTCTAAAAAATAATTTACTTTAAGATTTAAAATATTTATGCTGATGCTGCAGAAACATGTTTGAAAATAACGTGGAACAATAGTTTCATAATGAAGGTTCAAAAACGTTGTCGGAGTCAGTTTGGACTTTTTTCTACAAACTCAGTTCCACCCTGGGACCGTTCCTTCAGTCCTGTTTTAATGACGTTGTTTCAAATTTAAATTTCCTGATTTACTGTTAACAACAGCTGTGTGAATGCTGAGTCGGCTTCTTTTCTTTTTTACAAGTTCTTGTTCGTTTATTTCAACTTTTTTCTGGTTTGTAACGACTGCATCACATTTTCAGCACTTCACATTTTGACATTTGCTTTTTGACGTTTATATATTTAAAAAAAATCACTGTTTCTATTTCCAACTTTGAACTCTTTGAAATCTCCTGCAGCATATTTGCTTTTAAGTAATGAAGTTTTTTTGTCTTTGTCGTGCATCTTTTGTATTTTTGTTTCTGTATGCATTCTTTATATTTATATGTTTTTGTCTCTTTATGCAAGCGTTTTACCTTTTTAGCAACATATCACCTTTTTCCTTCGTTTTGTCCGTAGTCTTTTTATATTGTATCATTTCTTTCTTTTTAGTACACTTATTTTTGATGCTTCTCTTTTATTAATCCTTTTTATTCCTCCTTTTGTCTCCTCACTTTCTTTTTAAGAACCTTTTATTGTTCACACCTCCCTCCTTTTGTCTCCTTACACAGGTTTATTCATTTTATTCTTTTTATGATCCTTTTTGACTTGTTAAGTCTCGTGCATCTTTAGTTTTTAATGCGTCGTGTGTTTTCTGTGCATCCTTTTGCTTCGTGCCTCTTTTCAACGTTGAAAGTCCAACAAATACTTCACTCACCTTTGTCAGCACTCAGTCTTCATGTTAGTTTTTACAGAAATGATCTACTTTATTATAAAGATTTTTGAGAAATCCAGCTGAACATAACTCAACAACCGACTTGTAAATAGAGACAAAGACTTTAAGAATTTAAGTCTCCAGTGTTGAAGACAGGCGATAAATCTAAAACCGTCAGATGCAGCAGAGTAACCCAGCCGCCCTTCACATTCACTCATAAGAGAAATGTGTAATTATTCCTTCAGTCGCTCGCTCCGTTAAAGTCGATGCGAAAGCCTTTTATTACGTTCGTGTCACAGTGTCAAACGCAGCGGCGTCCCATTTAACGCTGGTTTGTTGGGTCTCCAGTCTGTTTTCCAAACAGAGTTGCAGTAATCAGGTCATTTGTTATAATGACGAGCATTAGGGGTGATGATCGTCACGCAGCAGTCGGGAGGAGAAATCAGGTGCTCTCTCTGAGACTCGTCTCCATTACACACCGACAAAAACACGCTCACCTTCGCATCATTACTGAACATTAAATTAGCTCAGCTTCAAAATAAAACCATTCCATAATGCATCTGTTCAGCTATCTGAAGGTGAAGCTCAGTGATGCATCTCTTTAGGCTGATTTATCCAATCAGCAACTATCTAGATTTCTTTTGTTTAAGCAAATATGACATTTTTCAGAAAAATAGAACTTCACAGCAACATAGTGCATTGCATGTTTCCAGTTTCCATGTCGTCACCTACAACAATAAAACCTTTCACTCGTTGCTGATAGCTTCTAGAACATACGATTAGAAGAAACATCATCAAATTAATCATAATCATAATCAGGTGACATTTATCTAAATTGTGAATAAATTACAAGTCCAACTGTTCAAGCAGGAAGAAAAACATTTATTTACAGATTTATTATTTTTGTACAAATCCATTTACAGAAATGTGCTTTTTATGATATGCAAAAGAAAGTTATAAAAAAATTACAGGCAAATCTAAAGTTTGTGAGATAAAACAGATACTGACGTTTCAAACAGCCGATGCCAAATGTGTACTTTATGTATTTATATTCACTACATATACTTGTATATGTATACTTGTCTACAAAACTTTTATCTACACCGATTATTAGTTTCATTGTGAAAGGTTTAATAAACTACATTTAACACTAAATAAAAACCAGAGCCTAGATTCTGTTTATGGAGCTGATTTTTTTATTTTTTTTGCTTTTTCATTTTTCATCAAGATACAATTTTACAAGGATTTTGAAAAGTAAAAATACAGCTCTAAGTTGCAATCTGCTTGCCAAAAAAACAAAAACCAGTGTAAAGTCACGAAATGCAGCTAGAGCAGATGTTTGACATGAATAAAGTTGGGATTGGAACGGTCCAGTTTTACTGATAAAGACGTGATAAAAGTGCAGATGAACTGAGGACTGGTTAAAAAAAGGCACGTGAAACATGCACAGTTTGTGTGTATCACAGTGGATAATCAGTACCACACCTGGGTCCAAACTCAGTCATCCTCTTGAGTAGAGCTGCTTTCACTGCGCTGATCTTCTCATCCAGCTCCGTCAGACTGCAGGCCTGAAGGACCCCCGCCCCCCAAAACAGAAGCTGTTCAGAACAGTCCACTCAACTCATAAAGTAACGCAGGAAGGAAAAATCAAGTGCTAACCTGTGCCCTGGACATCTTGGGTCTCTTGTGTAGATGACTCTACAAAACAAGAAAACAAACTTGTAAATAATTAGAGCAGTTTCTAAACTGACTTGAGTTTCGTGAACCACAAACACTCAAAACTTCTACAAACGGTTTGTATGGATTCACTTGATGGAACAAATGGAGGTAAATTCATATAATAAAAAAGATTGGACAAGGAAAAACAAACTTATAAAAAAGGCTCTTAATTGAATTTTACTTTTGCTGGCTGTTTTTACAATAGAGACGGTAAACAGAGGAGATAAGGGGCTCTAACCCAACGAATGTCCTGGTTAAGCCTGAATAGAACGTGCGCTGCTTAAAGCCGAGCGTTTCAATTTGAAATCTTCAATTTGAAATCTTCGATTCCAACGGTAAAACCTTTAGAATCGCTTCTGGAGCCGTTTGCTGCCGAGCATTAGAATGTTGTTCCTACAACTATGGGCCAACTGTGTGCAGCTTTTCAGCAAACACCAAGCTACAGCAAAAAAAAATAAGAAGGGGGGAGGGAAGAGGGAGGGGACTTTGAATATAAAAGACCCCCATCTTCTTCCATTTATTCAAAGACACTCCACATCTCTTGCTCTGCTCACACAAACATGCAGTGAGTCAAAAGCAGATGGAGAGCAGCACTCGTACAGAAGCAGCATGCTGTGCTGAGAAACACCGTATAAAGAGACATGCTGCATCTCAAGCACACTTAGATAGCTAACACACTGGACCGACTCCTTTAAGTTAGGAAATTAGAGTCTGTGGGACTTTGCTGATCTCTACAGTGGTAACATGAAGTCTTATAAACTACCCAGACACATTCTGAGTCTGTGCTTCTTTAAAAAGACATGAAATATTGTCATCTCAAACAAACCGTCTCCTATAGCCTAAACCTTTTAGGTAAATCTGAACAAAAACTGCACTTGACATCAACTTGGGAGTGACGTTTGTTGATGCATCGAAGTGTAAAAGAGGGAAGAAACTCCATTATCAGAAAACACAAACGCTCGGGAAGTAGACGATCAAATCAGACTGTGGAAAAGGAACAGAAAATGCAGGAGGTTGAAAAACTGCGACATGATAAGTTGCAAAGAATCTCCGCTCAGACACGACGACACATTTCAAGCTGCTAATTGCATAAAACAATACAGACGTCAAGTCTCTTGGGTACGTGTGGTTAAGTGTAGTAAATGGAGAAAAGTTAACTTGAATGTGTTGTGTAAAATATGCACAATGTTCATTTCTTCCACCTCGGTTATATTTAGACTCGTCCTCCAGAGAGAACAGTGCAGCCACATTATACGAGTGTGTTGTAGGTCTCAAACACATTTCATGTCCTCCAGAGACTGGCATGCAAAGCTTTGGTCAGAATCAGCGTGAAACATATTTTAGATCTTTAGTTTTCAATAAATAGTGCCTGAATTATTTTTTAAGTAATGAGAAGTAATTAATAATGTCCTCCATGTATTTAATGTTCAAGCCAGAGAACTCACCGTGGACTGAAAGTACTCGGGTGAGAGTCCCTCCAGCTCCAGGATACGATCCTCCAGCTTCTTGAGTCTCTGATAGATGTTTAAAGGGACAGGCCCCACTGAGAAAAGAAAATACTTAAACGTCTAAACCACAAATGACTACTTTAGAATAGATCATTACTTTAAGAAATAATTTAGGAGTCAAAAAGGAGAGAAGAATCTTAATAGAAATTCAGAAATCTTCATGCAAACATTTCAGGTTACAACATACTATTTAATGAAGGATTAATTGGTGTAGTCAGCAAAGATTTCAGTCTGTTTTTTTTTCAATATATGATTTTTGTCATCTACATTAACAAACATACAACACCTGGATATTTGTATAATCAAGACTTTTCTGGGACCCTCACCAGACGGCAGCTTCAGGTGCGTCTCGATGTTCTGGAGTCGCTCCTCTATGGCTGCATTTCCACAATCCTTTACAGTCGTCCCCCTCTGGTGCTCCCCCGCTTCCCCCTGGCATCCCCCACTACGAGTCTGAGGCCCGTAAGTGTTTACTACACGTGTGACTGCTCGACCAAGAAACACAATGATGGAAAACATCTAAAACATAATGATTTAAATAAAAACATTTCCACAGAAGGTCATATGAGACATTAAACAGTTAACGATTATATCCCAATTTATATTTACCAAAATGTAACAAAAGCTTTTATATTTTTGTATACAATTCTGAAAAAGTTCAGCCTTAAAAAGACTTTTTGGCCCATGAAAACAATAAAACGTCCATTTTCTTACCTTTTACGTGGCTTTTAAAGCCTGGATAAGGAGTGAACACAGCATCTGTTCTGGCACAGCTGTTTTCTGTGAAGAATAAAATTCCATAAAAAAATGCAAGAAGAATTTATAAATGTAACTATCAGAGAAAAAATATAAAACATTACAAATGAATACACCACCCATGAACTGCAGCTTCTCCTGATTTCTATTACTGGTGTCTCATACAAGCTTTGAATTTCAAAAAGGTTCTGGGTCTCGTGTTTTTCTGGACAGAGCGCGCTGCGTTTTGAGGCCGAGTGTGTTAGCTACTTCAGCCCCACTCTGGAGCAGTTCAGCCTGACCTCTCGCCTGTGGAAATCAGCTCTCTCCCAAACATTGGCAATCTGTGTGCAGGCTCCCTCTCCACCCTGCCCCCTCCCAGCCTCTTCCATTCTCACCCTGATTGCAGTCGATCACGTTGCAAAACTCGCGCACATTGTTTTCATTGATCTCCATCTGCTTGCGTTCCATAAATGCAGATATTCTTCGCTCAATCTAGAGATAAAAAAGACACGACACCGATAAGATACAATGGATTGATGAGCTGCTGATGAGTGTGAAGAATGCAATGTTTTGCTTGTTTATTAGTGAGCTAGACACGAGTGCAGAGATCTGTGTTACATTAATAAAAGAAACAGAGTAAAAATTATTCCAGGTAGTCCAAAAAGTTAAATTGCTTACCATCATCATACGATGGAATATGAATGTGGTTTGACTGGCTACCAAAATAAATGCACAACAGAATGGGGTCTCTTGTCCTTCATCCACATGCAATCTCAGAGTAATGAGCATCCACTTCATAATCCATCAAGGACCTGGCCCTCTCTCAAAACCCTCCAGCAATGTGGTCTGCTCTACCCCATCACAGCACTACAAGGCCCCTTCTCTGTCGAACCCAGTATCAGGTCTCTATCAAGCATTTGCAACATGTCATGTGCACATCCTTAGGAGCAATTACTTGTGATTATTCATTTGCCTGACAGAGTGTGAAAGGCTTTAAAATGTCAATGCCTGAACAGCTAACAGAGATGTTGACAAAGACCAACCTCTGACTTTCCAGCTCGGATCTGAACCATGATGTCATCATCTGAAGTCTTACTCTCTGCAGCCTCAGAGTTGTGATCTTGGTGCTCAGAGTTGTGATCTTGGTGCTCAGACAACACAGCTGTCTGCACTTTTACTGAGGATGATGAGACACCTTTATCCAGTGTGTTTTCTTTCACTGATGTAACACCATCAGCCTCCACCAGTGATCTCAGGCTTTTGGAAACAGCCTGTGGTAAAACAGGAAAAACACTGATTGCACACAAGCACAGAGAGTGTGTGTCTGTATTTTAGTCAGTAGCATAGAATGGAATACTTTAGTTTAAAAAAAGTGTGCTAATTGCACAAAAATAGTAACAATAATTGTGCAATGTTCATAAATTAAAATCTAGCTGTGCAAATCATTTTAGTAACACAAGTCAAATGATACAATTTACCAAAAAATACCTGTAATTTTGTGATATGCGCCTGCAAGCACGAATAAATCCGAGTCTCTGAAGACGAAGAAAGCTCGACAGCACTGGGGTTCACTTCTATTTTCAAAGCAGCCTCTTCTAATTTGAGCTTTATTTCAAAACAGATGACAGAAAGACATGCATATTGAGACAAAATACTCGCTTATCAAATACAAATTTATTTAGTAAAAAAGTTGGAAATCTGCAAATAATTTTATTAATTCAAGTTTAGGTTCTTTAAAAATATTAATTAATAGCAAAGTACTTTTTGGTACACAAAAATATTACTTTAAATCTTTTGTTTTTGCAGTGCTAAACAAACAAAAAAGGGCTTCAGAAAAAAAAAAAAACTAGTCAGCATCTAAAACATTACTGATTTATGAATGAGTTTTAAAAACATATATATACATTATAACCTGTGATTCTGGAGAATAATCTTTTCCAATGAAGACTAACAAGATCTGACAGTTTATTGTATTTTTTATACTAAACAAAGGTAGAAATGAGGTGTGACCATTGAGTAGTATTCTAATGTTTCCAGAAATCAGCGACAAACCTACAAAAAACAGAGATATCATATAATTATTTATAATTTAATCTATTTCAAACACAAATTATAAAATTATAAAAATATAACATGCCGGCTAAGGCGATGTGAGAGACACCGGGTCTGCTCACGTGCCTAACTGCAAAAAGTTCTAATTATTAAAACTGATTATAAACGAGAGTCCAATCATGATGACTCAATTCCTCGAAAAATAATCAGCATTTAACCAACGATCAATGAACCTACGAGGCTAGCATCGCTAGTATGAGATGCTAAAAACATTAGCATGTAGCTAACTAGCAACTCGGACTGAAAGAAGAAACAGCCAAAGAGAAGCAGCCTAAATTTGCCAAACCAACCTCTTTTCCAAAGTCTGAAAGCAGCTTCAGTATCACATCCATGCAGTGCCTGTAACTGGACATTTTAGTTGGCTCACTGGGAGGAGCTTCGCTTTCACTTAGCTTCGATGTCTCCGCCATTGCTACCGACGCTCGAAAATACTGTGCGCTGATTGGTTGGAAAGCGGCCACGTGGTTTCAGAGTTGCTCTACCCAACGCATGCGCACTTTGAAAGTAGCAATGTGCATGGATTTTCTCCGGGTTCATCTGCCCTGGTTTCCTCTCACAGAGCAAAAACAATTTGCAACATTTTCCTAACTTTACATGTTAGGCTAACTGATAAATTGTTTCTTAATACTTTATTATTGGTGAGAATACGATTGGATGATAGTCTCGTTTGTCTCTGTGTCCCTGATGGACTCCCTGTCCAGGGTCAGGGTGTCCCCCGTGTCCCCTGCCTCGCACAGTGACCGCACGCACCACAGACCCAGAAAGCAAAGAGCGGATAGAGAATGAATGAATGGATGGAAATTTAATGTACTGAAGAGCCATTGTTGCTTTTATATTTGATCTCAGCATTTCTTTATGCCACGCACATACATTACAAAATATTGGAAACTCATTTCCATTTTTAATTTATTTTTTTGTAGGTAAAAGTTGACATTTGCCCATTAGTCTACTGTTAAAAAATAATTCAAATGTCTTAATTATTTATTTAAAAATATTTATTCAAAATTACCCAGATTTCTTTGAATATGCTTATATGATTATACTTGATCTTTTAAAGTTATTTTATAATCTTTATCAAACTAAAATTCTACTTATGTCAATCTTTAAATAAAATAGGCCAGGCAATTTGAAAATATGTCACTGCTTTATAGAAATAGAAGATAAATAAAATTTGTCTTCTGCCAGTTTTAACCAAAATAAAAGAATTTTGAGCTGCTGTTTTGGGTCTTGACCTAAATTTATATCTACAGTAACATAAGTTTTGTTTCTTGATGATTAGGCTGACAAAACATATTTTTTGCTGCATTTGATCATTTTCTTCAACGGGAGAAAGAATAGTACTTAATTCTAAGAAGTTGTGCCTCTGAACACGATGGACGAAGCAGCAGCGCTGTGATGGGAACCAGGCCACAATGATGTTTCTCTGAGTTGAGTGACTGTGGGAAAATCTCCCTCTTTTATTCAGACATTTCTTACCTTCTTTTCACAGAGTGAAGAGAGAGAGAGGGGAGAGGGAGAGACTGATGAAGGAAACAACAGAAAAAGAATAATTACAGGCAAAGAGACGGCACTACCATCCACTCAAAACTCAATAATGCTATTTAGAAAGGTTAATCATTTTAGGAAGGGGTCTGAAGACGAGCCTGTTTAGCTTAATTCACTTGTGAGCTGATATTTTCCCCCGAAACAGGAAGAGACTGTAACACTTGACATGGTTTGACATGCTGTGCAGCTGCTAAATGTTCCCACACAGCAAAGAGCTCGAAATGTGCATGTGAGCGTGCGTGTGCATGTGTGTATATATATATATATATATATATAT